CCTGTACAGGGTTTCCAAGGCTGTAAATCTTTATGGGAACAGAAAGCCTCATCTTTCTCCCGCGGAACAGCTGGTAGTTTCGAACTGCTGACCTTACGGTTCGCAGCCCAATTTGTATTTTCATTTACTACAGGCCCATTAATATCTGAACAATCTTGACTATGGTTTTCTTTTATTGCTCTCTACTTTGATTCCATTATGATCGGATAATACATTCTGATTTTATTTTTCTTAAATTTGTTGAGATTTGTTTTGTGGCCAAAGATGTAGTTTTATCTTGGTACATGGTCTGTGAGCGTTTTAGAAAGAAAGTTTATTTTGCTACTGTTAGATGGAGAATTCTATATATGTCACTTAGGTCTTATTTGATTTAGAAATAAAATCAACTGACTTATATCTCTAATACAGGCTGTGATCAACCACTCTATGACTGTCCTATGTGTGGACTCATCTGTACAAATTACCATATTCTTCAGGAACATGTTGACTTGCATTTGGAAGAAAACCGCTTTGGACAAGGTATGTTCAAAGATTAGAAAGTAATGATTTAATTTATGTTTTGTGGGACACATGTAATTTTTGGAATAGTGATATAGAAAAAAAACATAGTGGTCAAAAATAAATATGCCCCTTTAGCTGTTTCTTTGCCAAGTTCTAGTGTGGTGTTGTGGGTTAATGTGCTGGGCTGCAAGGTGGGCTTGAATTGTAAGGTTGGTGGTTCAATCCCACCAGCCACTCCTCGGAAATCCTATATAAGGTCGCTGTGAGTCAGAACCAACTCAATGGTACTTAACAGCTACAACAAAAACAATAAATATTTCTTATCTAGCTGCAATTTAAAAATACATATATTTTGTTGTTGTAGAGATTATACACAGCAAAAACAGACCAATTCAACTATTTCCTATTGTACAATTCAGTGATATTTGTTTATCACAAGCTTTTGAGTTGTGCAGCCATTTTCACCCTCCTTTTCTGAGTTGTTCCTTCCCCCTTAACATAAACTTGCTGCACCCTAAGGCTCCTGTCTGATCTTTCCATTTGTAGTTGTCACTTTGCTCTCATGTGTTGTTAGGTGTTATCACTTCAGTTCAAACTCATAGTGACTCTATACACAACACATCAAAACATGGCCTAATCCTGTGCCATCCTCACAATTGTTGTTATCTTTAAGTCCGTTGTTTCTGCCACTGTGTCAGTCCATCTTGTTAAGGAATTTCCTCTTTTTCTCTGTGGTGTTGGTGGTGTCCCATGGAGTTGCTTCTGACTCATACAAAATAGTGACCCTGTGTAGGGTTTCCTAGGTTGTAAATCTTTACGAGAGCAGAAAGCCTTATCTTTCTCCCACGAAATGGCTGGTAGTTTTGAATTACTGACCTTGAGGTTAGCAGCCCTACTCGTAACCACTACGCTACCAGAGCTCCTTAAATTTACCAACCATGGTATCCTTCTCCAGGGACTAGTCCCTCCTGACAACATGTCCATATTAGAGGTGAAGTGTCACCATTCCCACTGGTATGTAGCATTCTGGCTGTACTTCTTCTAAGATACATCTGTTCTTCCGGCAGTCATGGTACTTTCAAGATTCCTCAACAACTCCACAATTCAAGTGTGTCAACTCTTCTATGGTATTCCTTAATTCATTGTCCAACTTCCACATGCATATGAGGGGATTGAAAATCCTTGGCTTGAATCAGGCACACTTTAGCCCTTAAATGGCATTTTTGTTCCTTATTACTTTAGAGAGAGGTCTTTTGCCTCAGATTTGCGTAATGCAGTGTGTCATTTGATTTCTTGACGGCTGCTTACATGAATGTTAGTTTTGGATCCAAGCACAATAAAGTCTTTGACAACTTCAGTCTTTTCTTCATTTATCATAATGTTATCTATTGGTCCAGTTGTGAGGATTGTTTTTCCCTTTTGCACTAAAATGTGAACCATACGGAAATCTGTTCTTTGATTTTCATCAGTAAGTGTTTCAGTTCTTCTTTACTTCCAGCCAATAGGATCGTGTCATCTACATATCACAGGGTCTTAATAAATTTTATTCTAATCCTGATGCCATGTTCTTTATATAATCCAGATTTTCAGATTATTTGCACAGCATGCAGATTGGAAAAGTATGGTGAAATGATACAACCCAGACACACACGTTTTCTGACTTTGAAACATTCATTATTCCCTTGTTCTTGTCTAACAAGTGCCTCTTGGTCTATGTACAGGTTATTCATGAACAGTTAAGTGTTCTGGAATTCCTATTCTTCACAGTTTTATCCATTGTTTATTATGATCCACACATTTGAATGCCTTTGTTTGGTCAATAAAGCACAAGCAAACATCTTTTTAGTATTCCCTGCTTTTAGCCAAGCCCCTTCTGATATCAGCAGTGATAGCCCTTGTTCCATTTCCTCTTCTGAATCTAGCATGAATTTCTGAGCTCCTGGTTGATGTACTGCAGCAAAATTTTACTTACATGTGATACTAATTATATTGTTAGATGATTTCCACATTCTATGGGGTTGCCTTTTCTTTGGAATAGGCACAAATATGGGTCTCTTCCAACTGGTTAGCTAGCTAGCTTTCTTGCAGATTTCTTGTCATAGAGTAGTGAGTGCTTCCAGTCCTGCATCAGTTTATTGAAACAGTTCAATTTGTATTCTGTCAGTTCCTGGAAACTTGTTTTATGCCAGCGCCTTCCGTGCTACTTGGACTTCTTCTTTCAATATCATTGGTTCTTGATCACATGCTACCTACCTCTTGAAATGGTTAAATATCAACCTTTTTTTTTGGGGGGGGGGGTGATACAGTGACTTGTGTATTGCTTCCATTTTCTTTTGATGCTTTCTGCATCATTCAATATTTTGTTAATAGAATCCTTCAGTATTGCATTGGGAAGTTTGAATTTTTTTCAGTTCAAGCTGAGCGTGTTCTTCCCTTTTGGTTTTCTAATTTCAGGTCTTTGCACATTTTATTATAGTACTTTGTCTTTTTGAAAAGCTGCCTTTTGAAATGTTCTGCTCAGCTTTTGCTTCATTATTTCTACCAATTGCTTTAGCTTCTTTGTGTTCAAGAGCCAGTTTCAGAGTCTTTTCTGACATATTTTGGTCATTTTTTCTTCCCTATCTTTTAAATGACTTTTTGCTTTCTTATTGTATGATGTTCTTGATGTCATCCCACAACTTCCGTGGTCTTTGGTCATTAATGTGTACTGTGTCAAATCTGCTCTTGAGATGTTCTCTAAATTCAGGTGGAATGTACTCGAGGTCAGATTTTGACTCTCATGGACATGTTTAATTATTTTAGCTTTAGACTGAACTCTCTTATGATCACTTGAGAGCATTCTACAGTCTTACCTTGGCCTTGTTTTGGCTGATGTTATTGAGCTTCTCCGTCTCGTTCCATAGATGTAGTCAATTTGAGTCCCTGTGTTCCATGTGTACGTTGTTAAGTACTATCAAGTCGGCAATGACTCATAGTGACCTTGTATAGGGCTTCTGAGGAGCAGCTGGTGGGTTTGAACTACTGACCCTGTGAATCGCAGTTCAATGCTGATCCTACAGTGTCACACCAGGAGTCATCCAAGTGTATAGTTGCCATTTATGTTGTTAAAAAGGTTATTTACAATGATTATGTCAGTGGTCTTGAAACATTGTATCATAGGTCTCTCTAGCATTGTTTTTTCACCAAAGCCATGTTTTCCAACTACTGGTCTTTCCTCTATTTTTTACAATTTTGTTTTCCAGTCACTAGTATTTACCAATTCATCTTGATTGCATGTTTGATCAATTTCAAACTGTAAAAGTTGGCAAAATTCTTCAGTTTCTACACCATTGACTTTAATGGTTGATGTGTAAATTTGAATAATAGTTGTATTAACTTGTCTTCCTTGTAGGTGTATGGATATTATCACAGACAGCATTATACTTCAAGGTAGATATTAAAATGCACTTTTTGACGATGAATGTGACACCATTCCTCTTCAATTTGTCACTCACAGCACAGTAAACCATATAATTGTTTGATGAAGAATGGTCAATAACAATACATTATACATTGACTCATTAATGCCTCGGTTATTGATCTTTATGCATTCCATTTCATTTTTTATGACTTCCAGTTTCCTTAGTTAGTTGTTACTTAACTGGAAGCTATTTACTTAGGAAAACAATTCTTAAATTTGTGCTCAGTGGTTTTGTGTCATGACAGTTAGGAATAAATTGTAAAATAATAGCTTCTACTGTATTTGAAAAATATGTAAACTGTGATTGTAGCATTTAGTTTGTTCTAATCAATAAAGCATCTAATAGGCATGGATAGAGCCCAGTGTTCTAGAGATCTAGAATTGGCTCATCAGCTTCAACAAGAAGAAGACAGAAGGAGGAGATCTGAAGAATCAAGACAAGAATTGGAAGAATTTCAGAAGCTGCAGGTAGGAAGTTTAGTAGTGATAGTATTTTGGTTGGGTAGAGTTCATGGTTTTTCAATATGCTTTCAAGACCTCTGTTGTTTTTCTTCATTGTTTTGTCTTGCATGTATTTTATAATTCTTAACAGCCAGCACTTGTAAGTGCTCACTCTCTTCAGGTACTGCTATCAACACTTCGTATATAGTGTCTCAAAATTTTCCCCACAAATAGTTATTTTAAAGCCTTTTTTTAACAGGCGAAGAAATGGAAACAAAGACTGTTTAAGTAACGTGCTCAGGATCAGGCAACTATTAATTGGTAAAGCCTAGATTCAAGTCTATAAGTTAAATGATGCAAATGAGGAAACCAAGACTCAGAACTTAAACTGTATGTTATTGTTAAGTGCTGTTGAGTTGGTACTGACTCACAGTGACCCTATGTAGGGTTTCTGAGACTATCTTTTCGGCAGTAGAAAGCCTCGTTTTTTACCCAGGGAATGGCTAATGTGCTCAAACATATGGTTCATAGTCCAATGTTGATCCTACCTAGCCATCATGGTCCCCAAATCCCATTTGTTGTTGGTGTTATTTTATGCCGTGGAGTCGGTTCCGACTTATAGTGATCCTGTACAGGGTTTCCGAGGCTGTAAATCTTTACGGGAGTATCTTTTGCCCATAGAACAGCTGGTAGTTTCGAACTGCTGACCTTGCTGTTCACAGCCTGATTCGTAACCACTACGCTATCAGAGCAATTCTATAGCTCAACACCATTTTGTGTGTATGTGTGAAATCTGTGACATCATCATATTCTACAGTCTGAATTTCATCCCTTATCTGACCCAAATAACTGACTTGTGTTGAGTTGCTTCTGACTCTTGGTGACCCTGTAGGACAGAGTACATAGGCTTCCAAAGGCTATAAATCTTTATGGAAGCAAGCTGTCCCACCAGTCTCCTGAGGAGTGTCTGATGACAACAGATCACAGACCTTTTCGTTAGTGGCCAAATACTGTTTAACCACTACACTAACAGGGCTCCTTGTTACTAAATTAATCTCCCACTAGTGAAAACAATTTTCCCAATATTTTACTTGTTTTGTTATCGTAATTTGCTACAGTGACTATACTTCAGCAGATGTTTACAACTATATAAATGTTTACAGAGTAAATAGCTACAGTGGGACTTTGTTGTTGTTAAGTGCCATTGAGTCAGTTCTGACCCATAGCGCCCCTGTATAGGGTTTCCAAGGAGCGACTGGTGAGTTTGAACCACCAACCTAGCAGTCTTTAGGGTCAATTAATAAACTTATTAAAAAATTTTGAAGACAAGGCTACATATCCCCATCCAATCTTCTCCAAGGTTGCATCAGTTTACAGTCCCATCAGTTTTATTCTAATGTATGTGCTGTTTTCTTCTATAAAGACTATGAGGAGCACAATAATCAGATGTCATTTTCCCAGTTAACAAAACAAAACCTGCCTTTGCCTATTATTCACCATTCGAATTTTCTAAATTCCTCTGCATACAGATAACTTAAAAGTGAAACTTAGAGTGTGGTGCTGTAGGATAAGCACTGGACACAAGGTCGAGTTGAGCTGTAAGATTGGCAGTTCAAACCCACCAGCCACTCCTTGGAAACCCTGTATATGGTCGTTATGAGTCAGAACCAACTTGACACTTAACAACAGCTAAGACTTAATTTCTTTTAGAGATTTCCACTTCAGGCATTTAGAGAACTCTGTAATAGAAAATACTTTTGGTTGAAATTTGAGACATCAGTTATCTTAAATGGTAGTATCTTATATTTTTAATGAATTTCAATTTTTTAATAGATTTCTTTGTTTCATTCCTAATTTGCTGTGGACTTTGTCATGTATGTTTACAGAGTTTCTAATGATCTTTTTCTCTGTATCAGTTAGGGTAGTGAAAAGGATTTATGGTCAGAGAGATTTGTATACCTCAGGATGTCTTTGAGCCCTAACTATGATAATGTCCATTGTACATATCATACTTTCCCCAGGCTTATTTCCTCTTTTTTTTCTTAGATATTTTACATTTTACATTTTCCTTTGAATCCACTTTGAAATACAAAATTTAGGCTATTATTCTTACTGGTGATTCATTGGTGTGAAAAATATTTGCCCACTAGGATTCAGAGGACTAAAGAAAATTTGTCCTTAATTTGTCTTAATATAGTTATGAGAGTCAGTACAAAAAGTTTCCAATGTTCATGGGGATATTATTATATAAGTTTGCAAATTAGTTGTTTAGAACTGGATCTTGGAAAGCTTTTCATAGGAGTAATCTTATATATATATTAATTAAGATCTCAGTCCAGTTCACAAAAACATAGTTTATTTGATATGTAGAATGTCTGATTAAATAAATTATGGATTTCATAAGTATTTGTGGGTTAGCAAGACAGGATCCCCTCTTTTTTCACTATGGAAGGCGTTCCCCCCCCCCCCCCCCCCCCCACACACACACGCACTCACACACACTGTGATTGCTTATATGAAAGGCCCATTATTGAGTCAGGATTCTTTTGTGATGTATTTTTTACAAAAAAATATTTCACAAAAAAGTTCCCTTGTATAAGAATTTATTAATCAGGCTGTTTCAAAATATAAGTAAGTAAAACTGTAGTAAGTTTCCTTCTTTCTTGAGTCATTCTGTTTTATGTTCCATAGAGACAATATGGTTTAGATAATTCAGGAGGATACAAACAGCAGCAACTACGAAATATGGAAATAGAAGTAAATAGGGGAAGAATGCATGCATCTGAATTTCATAGAAGAAAAGCTGATATGATGGAATCCCTAGCTTTTGGTATTGATGACGGAAAAACAAAAACTTCTGGTGAGTCCTTAAATATAAAAAATCATGTGTTCAGTATTCCATATTTTAAGTAATAACCAGAATGTTAGAACATTTGCTTAATTTTCTTAATCCATGGTTTGTATATTTTATATGAGGGTCCTTGTGTTGCATATAGGATAAGCACTGGGCTACTAACTGCAAGGTCGGTAGCTCAGACCCACCAGCTACTCCTACAAGACCTTCTACAGGGTCGCTATGAGTCAAAATTGTCTTGATGGCAATTAACAGCATCAACATAGATTTTTAAAAGTTTATGTTTTGAAATTGGGGGCTCTTTATTTTTATGTTAAATGATTTCCTTAAAAATATTTCACTTTTATGCTATTTACTTGACATTTTAAAATGAAACATTAATAAAGGTTTGTTGCATGTGCTTAGTACTGATAGATACATAAAGTGAGCCACATATAAGGGGACTTCCAAAAATTCATTGGAAAATTCAATTATTTTTAATTCCATTTTTTTAAGGAAAATTTTGAACGCCCTTGTGTATAATTTCAAATTTCCAGTAGCCATATTAGAAAAAGTAAAAAGAGACAGGTGAAATTAATTCTTATATTTTAAACCCAATATTTCCAAATTTTTCAACTTTCAATCAATATTAAAATTATTAATGAGATATTTTACATTCTTAGTATGGTCTTCAAAATTCTGTAAAATCTTTCACATCCATATTAAATTCCTCATATATGTTGTCTGATCCTAATCCCTCTGTCATACAAGGGTCCCATTATCTTCAATTAGGTATCGATATCAGTCTTATAATAATACTCTTCCCATATGTTTTCATAAGCAATATATAATAATTGCTATTGATATTAAGTGCCATTGAGTGTGCTCTGTCTCATAGTAACCCTGTATAGGGTTTCTGAGGAGCGGCTGGTGAGTTTAAGCCTCCAACCCTTTGGTTTAAACTGACCTTGTGGTCCAGTGCTTATCCTATAGTACCACATTGTATGGGTATACTGTATCTATGCTGTATTTGGTTTTATTCAAATATGTTGATTTTTGTAGTTGTAATTATTCTTTTTGACTGCTATATAGAACTTTCTTGTATTTATGGTACACTCTCTGTTTTCATGTTGACAGATGTTCAGATAATTTCCAGATTTTTATTCTTGTACATTATGAGCAGATTTCTCTAAGAGAGTCTCTAATATGATATCCAGACTGGAAATGCTAGGTTAAAAACCATGTATGTCTTCAAATTTGTCACTGTTATTGTTTTAAATCAGCAATGACACCTGTGTTTTCTCATTCACACTTCATGTAGTAATATTGTTTAATTTTTGACACTTAATGGAATATGAGTAAATGCATATTTTAAATTGCATTTCTCTAATTACTCTGGAGTTTCTTCTTCAATAAGTTTACTTTTTTCTTTCCTTTATTTCTCTGTGGGGTGTTTTGTCTTTTTTTGTTTTAATTGGTTTATGGGAATTCTTCTGGTATTTAAGATATTAATCCTTTGTCGGTTATATGAAATGTAAATGACTTCTTCAGGTTTTTGGTTTGCCTTTAAATTTGTGTATGGTGTTTTTAAAATTTCATAGTTATAAACTTTTTCAATCTTTCCCTTTTATCTGCATTCTATGAGTCTTATGTAAGAGTCTTTCATTTTTGAAGTTATAAATCTATTGCTGTATGCTTTCTTTAAATATTTGAGTTTGCTCTAGAGAACTTTAATTTTAATCCACCTGGAATTTATTTCTATATATTTCTCTGTGTGTGTGCTTGTGTGAGAGAGAGGTAAGTAGGGATGTGATTTCCCCCTTTATTTGTAAACATACTTGACCTTATTTATCTAAGTACCATTTATACCATATATCACTGGAATTGATTTAAAACATCTTAGGTACAGTATGTTTAAGGTGTTGTTAGACCAGGCTACAGCCAAAATTAGTGGCAAGAAGAATGGTTTAAAATAAAGGCAAGTTTGAGGTTAGCGTGCTAGGCTTTATATAACATGGAATAAGACTGTTCCCTACGTAATAAGGAATATTTTTGATTGGAAGCAATTTGATTTAGGACTAAGCTTCAGAGAAGGAGAGGTTTCCAACAGTGTGTATAATGGTAGAGATAAGAAGAATAGTCAAAAAAGGAGGAGATTGATTGATTTTGCAGCCCAGGAGTAGAGGTCCCTGAGACCATCAAGTGAGAAGAGCGGAGAGCGGGACCCTGCCCAGAGAGGCAGTGACTCCAGGGATGGAGACAGAGATGATGACATGGACAGATGGAGTGGCTGGGAACACTGAACCAAGGGAGGGAAAGGGGCTGTGTGCTGACGGCTGGGGGGTGGGCCTGTGGGGTGTACCCTTTGGTTATTTGATGATGCATGGAGGGGGTTGTAATCATTGCAATGAAACAAAATACAGTAGGATGAATGTAAAACTGATGTTCTCCCATGTAAACCCACATAATTCACAAAAAAAACTTAAAAAAAAAAAAAAAAAAATGTAGTTCTATGGTGTCATTTACCATGTCACTATTG